CACTTTGCAAGTCTTTTGCAACCTGATCGGTTGTTTTCAGGGACCGCCCTGTATTTAGGTCCGGCTATTCTCCAATTACCCCCTTCCTTCCCTACTAAATAAAGCTCCATCATTCCATAAAGCTGCCACTATCCTATCACTCAAGCATAGATAAATATAAACATGATATGCAGGGGTATATCCTTTCCATGTGTAATATTTTGCACTTTAACCATAAAAGTACACATAACTTTAAGGTGGACTTAATTTACACCTAAACTGATTTCTGTAAGGAATTGGTTTGGGGTATTACAGTAAGCATTTAACATAAATCTAAAAAAAAAAACAAAGTTTATGACTGTAATGTGACAAAAGTAAACAAGCCCAAATAATATAAATACCCTTGCACATTGCTATATTTTATAAAGTTTGTAACATGCAGTGCACTGTACTAAAGTACAAAGAATGTACCTAATGTGCAGTTTATACAGTAATAGTTCTAACTGTTACTCACTTACCTCTACAGCACCATTTCTCCTGCTTGTTGTATCCAAGGTGTTTATGTTCACCGGGTTGGACAGGTGTGGACTGTGCACAGGATGTGAATGAGTGTGATTCTGGACCCTGTCTAAATGGAGCTCAGTGCACACAATCAGACATACCTGGGGAGTTCTCCTGCACCTGTTCCCCCTTCTTCACCGGCTTCCTGTGTGACTTGCCGTATGACCCCTGTGACTCCCTCCACAACCCCTGCCTGCACAACTCCACCTGCCTGACACGCTCCAATGGAACAGCCTCTTGCAGATGCCCAGCTGGTGAGTGAACACTCTGCACCAACCTCAGAGTAGCAGAGCTTTATTTTTAGTCATTATTACACATATTTATTTAAAAGGTTGCTGTAAATCTTAATTATAAATAGCATATTTATAAAAAAGGCTATATTACTTATTTACCTTTCATGTGGAATACAGGTTTTCTGTACGAAAGTTACTTAATAAGAGACATTAAAGCAATACTAGAGAGCCAAGGACTTGTTTGTTCTTTTGCTCAACTCCCACACTCTCTAAAAGCTGCATCCGTACTGCAAAAACAAACCTCGAGCTGTGCAAATGAAAATTATCACTTATGAAATTGTTGTCAGACTGAAATATCTTACAAAAAAACCCAATAAATTACACATTAAAGAGAGAGAATGTTTGCCAGCAGAACACATAAGACGATGCCATTGATTTAAATACAAATGTAATACAGTGTTCTTTTTTTGATTTACCACCAAAATACCATTGGTGGGATTTGTTCCGATGCAGGTCAGTTGTTTGTAATTTAGTTTGTTTTTAAAGCGAATATTCCATTTGCTCTCTCAGTACCACTTCGGCTTTGAAAGGTCAGTATTTCGATTTATTCTTTGTCTAAAAAAAATTAAAAATCTGGCCACAAATCATTTCAATAAAAAAACAATTTGTTGAAAAATATTCCACATAAGATCAATTTAACATTACAGAAAAACATTAATAGGTCTACCTTGACTGTTATCTTCATAAAAGTGCATCAGTGAGGAAAATTGACTCCTGGCAGGGAGAATTGCAAACATTGAGGACAGCTATAAGTGTCTTCAGATTCCACAGGCGACTATGAAGAAGCCAAACAAAGCTCCAATATCCAAATAAGGTATAAGAAACCAGATCACTGACAAGAACAGGGTCTGGGCAATCAACACCTATGCCTTCCCGATAATCAGATACATGGAAGGGATAAAAAGTCAGTCAAGTAAGATATTCAAACCATAGATGTTATCACTAAAAAACTACTCCACCACAAAGCCAGTATACACATGCTATATGGTAAACAAGCAGAAAAAGGCAAAGGACTAGTGAGAATTTGAGTGCCTTTCCAAGGTGTAACAACCAAGCTTCAATACATAAGGAAGATACCCCTAAGGGACAAAGCATTCAGTAAAGTTCTTAAGACAATGAAAACTGAAAGAGAAGGAACTAAAGGATTAATCATGCCAGGAATAACCCACCATTTTATGCATTAGTTGGAGAGAGCTGAAGTGGCTAATATAATCAATTCCTACCAATGGCTAGAGACGGATGATCAGAAGGATTCCGGTCATTTCAGTGCACTAGCAGACCATGAGCAGCAAAGCAAGAGGCAGCTCCTTACAGAAAAATGGATACAAAGAAAAGGAACTGCCCCAAGATCAACAAAGATACAGTAAAGGACCCCCAAACTCAGAATCTGGGGCTCTTCTTCCCTCCATAAAAGACATTTCATCCCAGCGCTGCGTGTCCCATGCCCGAAATATTATAAATGACCCCTCACACCCCCACCATGAACTGTTCTACTTGCTGCCCTCTGGGAAGAGGCTTCGAAGCATCTGATGCAGGTCCAGCAGATTCCGAAACAGCTTCTTCCCGACTGCATCAGACAGCTGCACTGTTGAAAAAAAACTCTAAATCAAGTCAAAGACTCTGCATCAAACTGACAACACCAAACCAAAACACTGCATAATTGTACCATACATATTCAATGTTGGGAGAGGTGCAGCAGAGTGTCTGCGGAGGGGGCGGGGACGTCTTTGCGTTCACTGCGACACCTACGCAGACGACATAGTTTCAAAGTATAAATCAGCCTTAAGTCTCACATGGTTTGGTCAAGGACCAGAAACTTGGGTCTGGCTGGGACCACTTAAAGAGGGGCTGCGAGAGGGAAGACTTTATTCATCTCACAGGTAGAAATTTCAGTGTCACAGCATGATTAAAAAACTAAATGAAACTTCAAACTAAAAAAAAAATGCATAATTAACAATCTAGGCACCATGGGCACTATTCCACACAGCCAAGTCAATATAGATTCCCATTCAGAGTAATTGCAGTTACTGCAAATGCAGCCTCAACACAACTTCAAGCCAACAACTCGAGATCAGTTTTTATTTAACATCTTATCATACAACCTGAAAGCTGGAAGGAGAAAAAAGTAATTAAAACATTTAGTATCACACCTAGGATGCCTCAACTTGTTTTTGAAAGTACTCTGAAAGGAACAGTCCAGTATGGGAGGAACAGTCTTGCAGAGCGGGCTGGAGGATTTCCCATTACAGAGGGATATGCACAGTTTCAAGAGGGAATCCTGCAACAGGACCGGCTTTCTTGTTTAGTTTGTCTAGCCTCTGTGTGTCCTCTGCAAAGCTGCTGCTAACCCAGCAGGCTTCTTCATAAATAGCTAATATCACATGTTTCTGCTCTGGCATAGGAGCAGCATCAAAGAGAAGGGAAACTATGCAAAACCAACAGTTAATATGATTTATTAAAATCAAAACTTTGGAGTAGGGAACACTGTCTGGAACAGGAAGAAGGTCTGGATGTGGAGCTCTTTGCAGCAGGGACTGGAACAGAATCTGAAGCGGAATCCGCAACACATGTTGCGTTGATAGAAATGACCTGTGGAGAAGAGCAAAGCAGAAGAAGCAGGAAAAAAATATTTCTCCCTGAAATGCAAAAAAAGCAGAGACCTCAACTATTATGAAAGGTCTTAAGAAGCTCCCCCAGTGCTCGAAAAGACCTCAGCCTCCTGGGCAGGTTCAATCTGCCCCGGGCCCTCCTTTGAGGAAATGCATTGTTGTATGTCCTTTTCAGCTTGCTATTCAAGAGCACATTCAGGTACTTATAGGTTGCCGCCATCTTAATATTTGTTGCCAAAATGCACTAAGGTATGGGTGGGGCTGGTTTACCTCTGAAGAAGTCCATTACTGTTGGCATGTGTTTGCATGTTTCTCTACGACTGTATTTATAAAGTACCCTTTGAGAGTAACAACCTTTAAGCAGGTATTAAACATATGTCTTTCAGTCCACTTGTCCGTATTAAAAGTATTTTTTTACTCGTCTTATATAATGTTGTGTTTTCATGAGCAGCAAGTGAAAGTCATCTTAATGTACACAAATACAGGTTTAAAGACATTCAGCTATTTATAATTATCTATGCAATGTGTGTTACTCTGTGAATTAGGTTTAATCCATGTGTATCTAACAAAAAATGGTTGCATGTTAATTTCACAGCCAACGTGCCCTAGGAGATCGAAACTGCAAAAGCAAAAACAACAAATTTAACACATGAATATACTGTATGCATAAAGCCTTACAGTTCTGGAGAGCAATAATATGACTTCATTTTAGTTAAAATCCTGTTTGAATGTTATATCAGTAGTTTGTATCTTGAAATTAACCACTTTTTTTTATTTTTCGACTTCCCGTCGTCAGGTTAGGGTGCTATGAGGTTGCGCTGTAACTAATGGCTCTCTCTGTACTAAGATGAAAGAGATGTTGCCAGATATAAATAGAGCAGCTGGGTTAGTTTCAGAAAGGTTCCTTGGAGAGGAAAAGGAAATTGGGAACTGGCTGCATACATTACAACAAGAGCTTTGCGTGGGTTCGGTCGTTTTCTCTTCAGACAAGCGACTGTGACTCACTACTCTTCCTTATTATTCACCATAAATTCAACCTACATAACAGTCACAGTATGTTATACAACTTGTAACTTGTCATATTTACCATTCAGTATAGGTGTTAAGTCAAGTAAATTGTGTTGGCTTCAGAGTTTTCACATGTCTAGTTAGAATAAACATTTTCTGCATTTATCTTCAGATATAAGGAAAATTACATGGATAGACATTACGTGCTGAATGTTGGCAAAGTTATTTGACTTTTATTGAAGTTTCATTTATTTTTCTATTTTCTACTGTATTTAACATTTTTGTCAGGACAATTACAAATTATTATTTTCATTTTTATGGATAAAAATTTCAGCCCTTGGGTAAAAAGTAGCTATAAAATCTGTTTGTCTAGTAAGTGGACAAAGACGTTATTTGAGTTTGTATGCTACAAAGTTACTTTAGAATTTATCCATCCTTACCGACTTTGTCCTTTTGACGATTGTGAAGAGGTGAAATACAGATTCAGACTTACAGTATGTTCAGTCTAGCATCTGAGGTTGATTTAACATGAATATCTGAAATATTTACCATGGAAATAGACAGGTAAGATAGAAAATTTTATACAGAAAATATCTAGTTATTAAATTTGAGTCTACAGGAAGATAGCTTACAGGAACAGTTTGAGTTAATTGCTTTTAACTGTGGCTTGGTATGGATTTGCTTTTGAAAGTTTGAAAATGAGCATAATGGTACATGGAAATATGAATCGTTTTGACCTACAATCAGAAATCACCAGCAATTAAGTTTTTTTTGTTGCAAGAATGTATAGATTAAAATCAGCTTCTGATATGCAGGTTCAACTGGCATCTGGAGATAGGAGAGAATACATAGAGAAGGTGATTTCAGAATAATATTGTAATAAAAACAGTCATTGGGTCTTGGCTTACCAGGGGTAGAGTTACTGGTAAACCTTTAGTAGGAAAATGTCATAAATGAGTAAAACATCCTCTTAGCCATTGATAAGGTAGTCTAAAGTTGTCAAACTCATTTCCTGAGTTCCAAAGGATGATTGCACAGGACTTAGTGGGCAGACAGGCTACCAGTGGAGCATATAGTTAGTCCAAGGAGATCCATGATTAAACAGATTATTGTAGAAAAGAGGACAAACCACAAAACTCAACATGGCATGCACAAAGCAGAAACAGGTGGTTAACTTGACAGGAAGATCAGACTTAGAGTGGCTTACTAAGTGGCTCATCAGGAGGCTTGGTTCTACCAGTCAGGTTTACCATTAGAAACAGACCGGCTGGGACACTGCTTAAATTCTCAGCAGATGAGACCCAGAATCTCCTAAAACCTGCTCTTATTTTGCATGAAGCTTGATCTTAGAAATTCAGTTTACTAAAGAGCTTTAACTATTGGCTGCTAAGATATTGCTGTCAACTTTGATCAGTTTGTAAACTGTAATTTTAATGTTAATAGTTTAAATAAATATTGTCACTAGAAAGACTTCAGCAGGTGTAGACCTGGGTGGGTATAGGTCCGATGTCTGATATCTCTGATGTCTTGCAATGTTAAAGCCGGCCATACCCCGCTGTGTTGTTTTCCAAGACTACCTAGATCCAAACTACTTACTGGCTAGATAAGCTGTCTTCCTTCAGTTAAAGGACTCTATTGCTCCTTCTCATGCACATTAAAATATGGATATTATGTTATAGATGGATGTTATAGATTATTTGGCAAATAACCGATAAACTATTGTAGGTCCAGGAAACAAATTACACAGAGGATGGCATCCCTTCCTGGGTTCTTTGTGAAGCTGACCAGAGAACCCCCCCCCCCTTTTTTTTTCCTTTTATTAAAAAATGGTTTGAATCTTCAGTTTCTTTTTTCTATTTGCACTATTTGTAATGTTCTCTATTTGTTTTTGTTCTCAAGGCAGTTGCTGTAAAGCTGCTTCTGTTTTATTTTTGTACAATAGATGTCTGTATTTGTCTTGGTTTTGGGGCAGGAGGTTTAAAAACAAGAACAGAAAATGATCTGTGCAGATCATTTTAATCCTAAAATTTTAATTAGAAACATACCCCTGAGAAACCATGCCAACAACACTGCAATTTGGGAATTTTTAATGAGAAAAAAAATCAGGTGTTTGAAAGCGAAGTTGAAAGACACATTTTAAGATATTCAAAATGAAAATGTATTAATGATGTAAATAAATATTGATGCCCACATTACTGAGAATCATGAAAAACTTAGACTTTTAAAATGGTTTCCCCTAAAACCAATATGTTTTTACTGGTAGCAATATAGCAATAAACACATAATTTAAGAGTAAAACTTAGAAATAAGAGCTTAATCAATTTTGACATTAAATGCACTTTATCTGTTGTTTTAATTTTATTTAAATGAGGCCTAGTTTAAAACAATCTTATACCCCTTCTTGTAATCAATGAAAATATACCTTTTGGTTTTAGAGCATATAGGCTCTTCTCATATTTGTTGACCGGCTTTTGTATGTTTCTGCTCATAATCAAACTTGGGTAATTAGCTCAAAATAGTTTATGTTGCAAGGAACCACTTTACTTTGCAGACTATTGTATAGAATACACAAAATATTTAGAAACATTGTGTGGAGCGTTTACATGCAAAAAAATCAATGAGTCTCTGTGGCTCATAATATCCCCTCTGGCACTTTTGGCCAGATGGAGAGAAAACCTTTTTATTTCCATGGCATGCTACAGCAGCCTTCACCTTTGACAAGATAGAGATTGTCTTCCACTAAACATGTGGGTAATGAGCTACAGTGGAGTTATGCCAGTAAAAAATTGATATATACCGAATATAAGTCGAGAATGTAGTGCCAAAGATGTGTTGAGAAAAGTCTGTTCTCCGTGCATTTCTTTCCTCCTTTCATAATAACATTGGATAGACCAGCTGCCTCAACAGAAGTATGGGGCTCGACAGGTTTATTTGTATGGTACCATACATTGTAATTTTTACTTCTATATGCAAAACAAACATAAATAAACAAATGGAGTACAAAGAATTAAATCTATATCACTGAAAAAAAATGACAAAGAACAACAGAAATTTAATGTGTGATTGTTTTAAAGAAGACCGCCATTCTTGGTTTTTTAGCAGCTCTTATGTCTTTAAAGGAGAGAGCCTGCCCATTATACAGTTATACAGTTGGTCATATAAAAGCTTTTTCACTGCAAAACAATGGAGGTGTAAAATTATCTTTTACTGTCCTACCGCCATATCAGCAGTGAAGCAAATAGGAAAATGAAAGGATACAGGTATGCACCAAAAAAAGATAAAAAGTTATGAAAAGAACAAAAGAAAAATCTTAAAGTTGGAATAGACTTTACCACACAGGAGACCCCACATCTTAGAAAATGACACAAAAAATGTTAAAAAAAAGCATATAAAGATTAAATAAAAATTACAAGTATAACAGCTCTTCAAAGAAAATACTTGTTCTTTATATACAACATTTTTAGTATGATCTTACTACACCTTACAAGACCAATAAAGTGTAACTGGCTCAGTGATTTCACAGATCAACATAAAAGGCCCTGAAAGTGAAGCAAAGAATGCACATGTAATACTACAGCTAGCCACACATACATCAGGGCCTATATATAGTTTTTTTTTTTTTTTTTTTTTTGAAAGCATTGCATGATTATTTTTATGTGGAAAATGTTTCCTTTAGAAATAAAGGGTGTTCCCTACTGGTAAAGGGTCACAAAAAGTTTAGTAATATTTGATTACTCAGGCCAAATGCTAATCTTTCCATAAGCTTTGAAACCTTTGTTTCCAGCATGCATAACTGCTGTTTTCAAGAGGTAGGGGAAAAGCAGTAATGAACCTCATGTAGTTCTATAAAAACTAGGAAAATTAAGATGGAAACATATCAGTGTTTAACTCTAGAATGCTTCATGCTCTAAAACAAAAATGCATGATATTTTTATCTTTGAATCTAGATATCAACATACTGTAAATAGTACTAGCCTTGGGAATCAGGAAATTGTTCATTTTCAGATTTTCGATTTCCTATTTCAAAACCAAAATCGAATGGCCAGCATTTTCACAGACCTGGATCTTCCTCCCCTTTAAATGCGCATTCGGTCTTAAGGCAATTAAACCAGACAGATCAGAAGTTTTTGTCACTGCAAAATAGTTTGACCATCCAGAATTCATTTATTTATTTTTTTATTTACATGACTTAATTTTTTTTAAATAAATGTATTAATTGAACTGCATTGATCTTACATTGGAAAAAATCACTCTCTGCATTTAACCAATCCCTTTGGGGAGTGGTGGGCTGCCATCATGTGGCACCTGGGGAGCAGTGTGGGGTTAAGGGTCTTGCTCAGAGACCCAGAGTGGCAGTCCGTGGATGTGGGGCTCGAACCCACAACTTCAGGATTCCAAGCTATATGTTTTAACCACTTGGCCACCACTCCCCCTTTTTTTTTTTTACTAAAGAGGGAAGCTTTGATTTAGCCATTAATAATCATCAGAAGTCTCCAAAAATCCCATCTTCAAAATAAATTTGCGTAAAGGGTCCACTGTAAAACAACTTAATATGAAGATCTTCAAATGTTTTTAGTAAAGAAAGAAACTCTTTCAGATTTTTCCTGCCAACATCATCCATGGCTGCAACGTGTATTACAGTATGAGTTTTCCAAGGTTTGGTAGATTCTGCTAGAGTACTCTAAGATATTTGGCACCAGGTTACAGGAAAAATAAATAGATGAAATATATAATTAATAATTACTTAATAATTTTTTTTTCTATTTTAATGCAATTTACAGCTGCATTTTCAACCATTATGTTATTTGGTCTAGTGGCTGGCTCTTTCTTTGGGAACTTTATTATTTTATGTCTTAATCTTTACAGCTAAAGAGGTGGGTTATGTGTTGAAGTTAACAGTAAATAAACCTCACTCACCTAGTTCCATGTATAGACATTTACAATCTCATCATACTTACTTAAGGAACGTGCTTCTTTATGTTTCGTTAAATTTGGTGAACATAACCTGATCTACCTATTAGGATTTATATACCTACATACAATATTTAATATTTATTATCTTCATAAAAAAGCTATATGAAATTTCAAGGATAAGTTTTCGATACCACATTTGTTATGTTTGTTTCCAGCTTATTAGTTTATATTCAAAAGAAAATGTATTATTTAGCAGGGTTCCCAAGCAAAAAAATACGTTGTGTTAAAGGGCCTGTGCTGTATGGTTTGAATTGCCTGTATCATGGAAAATCTAACATCGAACACCACCCCAGACCAGTAAAAAACATGACCACTCTGTCTGATTAGCAAGTGATCTTGGCCAGAGCGCAATCAATTCAGCCTAAAGACAAGTTAAGTCGAAGTGGCTCTTTTAGCACCTAATCTGTACAGCTAGAGAAAAACATTTTCCCTTATTAATTATAGATAATGTCTAAGTTAAAAAAAAAATGTTTTTCGGTAGCAAGAGGTCTCACTTTGTTGTTATAATTCTTTAATATGGTGTGCTAAGTTTTCAAGCACAATGTGCCCCTTTTTCCCTGTAAGGCAATGCATAGAATCAGCTTAGGGATGATGAAAGTTAGAAATATAAAAAGCAATTAAATAATAAAAAAATATTTCAATAACAACTTGAAAGGTTAATTTGGGTTTTAAGGGCACAAGAGTGTAAATACCAGAGTGGTTAGATTAAATAGTCCTCTCTTGAACTAAGTGCATTTGGAAATATTGGCAGAATTTAGAGTAGATGTTTAATATCTGTCTTCTTGTTAAAAATAATTAGAGACTATGTTTTCATTCTTTACTCCAGTCAATGTTTCTTTGCTTACAATATAAATAAGAAAGGCTTAAAAATGATTGGTGGATCTTCAAATAAATTAAAATCTAACTAAATAACCATTTTGAAAAGGCATTTTTAGCTAGATTTGAATTGTAAAAAAAAAAAACTTGCCTTTTTACAAACCCTTCAAGGTTAAACTTTTAATGTTACGTGAATGTCAATAAACACAGAAAAAGACTCTTATACCAAATGCACAATAGGTTCTGATCAACATTTTAAACTTAGAGGGTCAGAACTGTGACCCAAAACTGACAGTTATGTTGCATTTTCATGTGAGCAAGATAATCCTGCACAGATTAAACCACGAGCGACATCTGACATTTGATGTGTGACAGCACACAGATATAACCTCAGACAGAGATCCTAATCTATACTGCAAAAGCAGTGGGTTCTGCTCTTCGGTCCAAACCAAACTTCAAGTTGCAAAAACAAAAAAAGAGCAGACATTCATCATTTTTCAATCACAATGTCAATCCAAGTGAGTTGAGTATCCACTGGGGATTATGCACAATTTCTTCTCCTCCGAGACAGTTACTGGCAGCTGCAGTTATCACATACTGTAACTCCTGCCAAATGATGGAATGGCTTTGTGGGTTTGTGCCTTGGGTGTCTCTCTCTGTTCTCTGTCAAATAGAAGCCTCCAGTCACTGCTTAGTGGTAGAAGATGCATTACATTGCATTGACATTCGAAATAGTCCCCAAGGGGCTCCACTGTGGCTTTGACAGACAGACCAGCTTGGAAAGCGGTGTTGTCCCATAATTCACCCAACATGCTGTTCTCTTTGTGGTCTCAAATGTCCCTGGATGCACTGAGGAGTGTCACTCCCCTTTGACTTCTTCTTTTTCTTTTTTCTTTTTCCTTTACTTTATGAATTTATAAAAGTAATGTTGAAGATGAATTTCTTTTTACTTTATTTTCTGTTTTAGATAACTGTTACATCTGTTCATTTCTGTATCTCTTCACTCTTATGTGTGGGTTAGCCAAAATGGACATCCTTATGCTGACATATGGTGGTCAGAGCAGCTCCAAGCGTCACCTTATATGGTGATGCTGTAGGCTCTGTGAGAGGAGCCGGATGCTGACTTGGGGCTTTTGGTAGACATGTCTTGGCTGACTTTTAGATACTGTAAAATGGGAAAGCCGGTCTTCTGTCCGAACAGCATACGCTATCAGATCGACACATACTTAGTTTTTATCTAATCTAAATTAATTCTACGTCACTTTATAAAGCACAGCCAATGTTTTGATGATTTTAAACATGAAAACAAAATGTAACCAAATTGAAATCCTGCACACATGTTTTTTTGTTGTTTTTTTTAACTACCGTACTAAAGTAATTTATTTTAAATTATTATAATCTAATATGGTTTTAGCTATGGAGGCTTCTTCTCTCAACATCCCGGAAACTTCAGGCGTGTCTGGCTGTTTCGACATCCAAGAAATATATAATCAAAGCAGATGTTCTTTTTTAAAATTTGAAATAAGCGTCTTTTGCTGGTCGGTACACTAGTGCTAAAACTCAATGTGGGAATAATTCTCTGCTATGCCTGTGTGCACATGCATATTAGAACAATTTAGGGTGATGTGACAGCATATGCTGTTCTGACAGAACACAGACCGAGGCTCTCTACCTTTTCAGTGGGTTCTCCCCTGAACTGGTCGAGCGTAAGGGCCTCATAGAAGGTGAGATCTTTCTCTGAAATTTGTGCTTGTATCAATGGTTTTTTAACTGTCACAGGAGTAAATTCTGTTAATGCTTAAACATGTTTTCTCCTTTGTATACACTATCTGAGAAACGATACATTAGTAAAGGAGTAACACAACAGTAAGAGCATAATTTCAATTGCTGCCATGTGTTATTTACAGGACAGCAGAATCGGAAAACAAGTAAAAAAAAAAAAAAAAAAATACCAATTTCGTGCTTTTGGTCTTAACCCTCTGATTCCATTGCATCCAGTACTGGAAACCCTCACCTAAATTGTATAAAAACAGTAGTCAAGACTCTAATTTTCAATTTCCATTTTTTAATAAGATTTAACAATCTTGCTGCATTTTCCTTCTCCTGTTTTTTTTTTTTTTATGTGGTAGCACAGTTCATGTATTTGCAGTGCCTTTTGTGTTTGCAGCACACTTTTTATTTATAGCGCATTTGCACTTTGCTTCTCTCTATTTTCTATGATCGCAGCTATTAACAGATTGCGCAAAGAACATATGCTTAACATCAGGAGTGCACACTTTCTAATGAGGCAAAAATTACAATTTTTGAAAAGATAAATATTAATAGACATAAACTCAATAAATAAAATCCCTGCCAAAAGATTTTTTCCATGGAGTGTGAACATTCAGATAACTTTGGATGGAACATTTGCCTGCAGACTGGGGGATATTTATTGGGTAATTATATTGCCACTGTTACGAACACGTAAGAAAGAATGATTTCTTAAGTTTCTCTTTTTATCAAATTCTAATAAGTCAAAAAACTTTTCCAAATTGCTAAATTGGAGGTACTGTTTACAGTCTTTTGAGGAGATAGATAGACAGGCAGACCGCCTTGGGTATTGTATGGCAAACAAATCCTGTGTTGTTGTACACAATCTGTTACTAAAGTTGTTACTGAAGAGCCCCTTCACTCGTAAAGATATTTAGTTTTGTATAATTTTTGATTCAATATTACCAAGTTTGTTGATTTTTCCCAATCCCATTTTATTTGTTAAGCACTTAAAAACAACCACAGCTGACCAAAGGGCTGTACAGAAAAAAATAAATAAATTAAACATAGAACAGTACAGATAAAAAAACAAAACAGATACAAAATGAGAAAAATAACATTCACACAATCAAATCAATAAAATTGGGTAGATTGTACAAAAAATACATGAATCACTAGCCTCAAAACAAGTATAAATCCTCCTGCAGGCTGAACCTTACAGACTCCCAGGCCACCTGACAATTGAGACAAAACATCCATGCTGATCTGCTTAGCTGCGCTGCCCTCAACCCTCTAATGAACGAGGCCAAAAGAGCTCTTGGGCTTAGCCTCTCCCTCTTACCTTAACTTTACACGTCCCCATGCTCACTGGCTTCCACTCTCACAAACATACACACACACACTGATGCAAATGCATGGCCACATACAGTACACACTCCCAAACCACTAACCCTCAGACCAATCTGTCTGCAGCACTGTATTATTGTTAGACTTACACACCCTTGAAGGGGAAACAGTGAGTGCTTAGAGCTGGAAGATGAGATATGCTACAGGGGCTAGTAGTTCCATTAAAATGGCATTCACTGAGGCCTTTGTTATCATCGGCCTTGATGTTTTCGGAATGTTGTGAGGTTTGCTGATCCATGACCATCTCATCTATCTTTCAGGATTTGAAGGAAGTTTGTGTGAAATTGACACCAATGAGTGTGCTTCAGACCCATGCCAAAATCTTGGGAAATGTGTGGACCAGGTGAATGGTTACAGGTAAAGAAAATAAAAGAAAAATGTATCTTTGTACCCCTCAGGAGGTTAAAGGCACCAAGACAGTCTGGAAAAGAATGCCTTTTAGTTCAGGCTTGATTAAGTATTGGAAAAAAAATATGAAAAAATGTGTCACTTCCTCCTTGCATCCTCCCTTCCTTTGTTATGTATGTAATCTCTATTTATTATTCTTTAGTATTTTTTGATTCCTTCCTCCTTTGTTACCTTTCTTTCCTTCTTTCTTTCTTTGCATATACTGTCTTCCATTTCCTTCTTCCTCTGAGTTCATAGTTTCTTTCTTTTATTTCCTCTGTAATATATCTTTATCACTTATTTTGTCAGCAGTGTCCTTTCTTGCTGTTGTCGATACTATCTTTATTGACTTATACATTATTAATTTAAAAAGCATTCTTCTTGAAATAAAAAAAAAAAAAAATTTTTTTTTGTTGTTAAACTGATTGTTATAGAATTTTAATGTTCAGATTTCCAAGCTATTTCATGTGTTATGTTATTTTTTTATTTTGTTTTATTGTTTTATTCTATCCCTTATGCTATTTATTTTAACTGTTAAATTTTACACCATGTACAGCATTTTGGTCAATTAGTATTTTCAAATTTTCTATAAAAATGAACTCAGACTTCATAAATATGTAAAACCTTGACCTGTTTATGTCTAATTAGCTATCATTTAAATATTTTACATAGCATGTACTGTATATAAATTACTCGGCATGTGAACTAAAATAAATAAGGTGTAGTAAGGCATTTTTTGGTATTTTTCTATACTGACCTACCATAATTTGTGGAAACCATATCTCACATTGACTGCACTAAGTTCAGAAGTGCCTAGTAAAAGATTTACTGCAATGTTCAACAAAATGTATTGTTGAAGTTTATGTTGCAGACTAAATATGAAAAAATGTAGGTTAAAGCCATAGATTTTTTTTGATAATGTGCAGAAAGTCGGGGTTTATTTAAAAACTTTAAATGACCTATCATATATTTTTAAAGAGAATGAATTGTAAAATTGGCTCAAATTGTTAAAGGAATAGTACACCCAAAACATGATTAGCCTTCATTTTCTACTCACCCCCATGCTGAACAACACTCTGGAGTACTTTTTTGATATCTCAAATGCATCTGGAGATCTGGGAGGCTTCTTGCTGTCTGCTGACATTCAAATAATGGAGGTGCCCAGCGCCCGAGGCAGAAAGGTCCATAAAAGTCCACAAAAAACGTGTCAATATTCCTCCATACTGCTCGTCCAATGTATTCCAAGTGTCCTGAGTGGGTAGCATCCAGAATTTACTCGAAACAAAGTCATTTAGAATGTTTTTAGAGCATAAACAGTAGTGTATAGGATTTCCTGAAAGCGCGCACATGCGCGATCCCGACGCTACGGAAGCCGGCAGACCAAACCAGCGCATTCAGCTCGGCAAAGAACTCATGCTCTTCCTCAACACTGAAGTCCTCAGACATTTTTCTTTCCTTGTTTCTTTCTTTGCACAGGTAAACGGCACATTTCTTCTTCTACGCTTGCATTATTGGAAGAGCAGACGCTGAATGCGCACTTTCATCTGGTTTGGTCTGCCGGTTTCCGTAGCGTCGTGATCGCGCATGTGCGCGCTATTAGGAAATCCTATACACTACTGTTTATGCTCTAAAAACCTTCTAAATGACTTTGTTTCGAGTAAATTCTGGATGCTACCCACTCAGGACACTTGGAATACATTGGACGAGCAGTATGGAGGAATATTGACACGTTTTTTGTGGACTTTTATGGACCTTTCTGTCTCGGTCACCATAGACCTCCATTATTTGAATGTCAGCAGACAGCAAGAAGCCTCCCAGATCTCCAGATGCATTTGAGATATCAAAAAAGTACTCCAGGGTGTTGTTCAGCATGGGGGTGAGTAGAAAATGAAGGCTAATCATGTTTTGGGTGTACTATTCCTTTAAGGTTTCAATATTTTTAAGTTATAATAAACAGTTTAAGGCTAACTGTGTAGTTCATTTCGGTGAATCTTGTATTCAAGTACTGTAAATGTCAGGCTTACTTAAGTATATTTTTCATTTACTTTTGCACTCAGCTTGTGTCCACAGAAAACATAAACCTCCTATTTTCTGTCTGAGGAAAGAACATTGATTAAAATATTTTTCTTTTGCAGGTGTGATTGTCAGATGGGATTTTCTGGCCTCCTCTGTGAGGAAAACATCAATGAGTGCTCCTCCAACCCTTGCAGCAACGCAGGCATCTGTCAAGACCTTGTGAATAAGTTAGTATAATTATATTCCAATTTTGTTTATTTTTTTCCATTTTTCTTTGAATTTGCACATAGGCTGTTTACTATAATGTAAGTTGAAAAAAACAAAACAATTTTTTGCTCTGTCTGAAGCAAGCACAATTAATATCATGAGTTTGCTTTGAAAGGTGAACAAACAAAATAATTTCATAGCCAAACATTTGTGGCCATGGTGTTTGTCTTCAAAGTGTTTCACTTTATATAACAAGCCTGTATTCATCCTTGACACGCATAAGCTTTCCTTCCAAAGACAGAGTGGATTCTGCAGGAAAGCATCATATATCTAGATTGGTCTTTACTCCACCAGCGCCTCTCTCTGTTGTGCTTAATGGGAGCCCCAGGGCATCAAGACTTAGTCGGACAGATGGAAAGAGAAGTCCCAGGGCCAATTTGAGTCCTAAATGGTTTGTCTTCAGTTTTTGTCCTCGTCATGACTTAGCTCCCATGTGGCCTGGCCTGGCTCAGAAAACTCCCCCATTTGCACAGTCTAGGGAGTTCTCATCAGGTGTGTTTTAAAGCTGCCTAATCCACATCCTCATCTCCATCTTCGTCTTCCTGAGTTAATAAGTCAATTTCTACCATAGTGATGATGCAATCTCTGTACCATCATCTCTAAAGCCTGATCTTATTTGTAAACATCCTGTTTATTTTACATACTTTGAACTTGGCTGGGTGAGAATGCTAAACCGAGTAAAGTACAAGCTGTGAAAGAAGCAATGAAAATAGTCCTGTCTTATGTGCTTAGCAGGCTGTACTTAGAACAAAAAGCTACGTTTTAGCACACTGCAAAAATTGATTGAGATATTGCTGGTTTATTTAATCAAGAATATATTAAGACTTTAGCATGGGGGTGCCTAATTATATTCTTTGTCATAACTTAAATCTAGGCACAATTGCTTTCTCCTTGGAGATGCATGTTTATGTGATAACAGGTTCACAGAGGGATTTAATTTGATATACTATATCAACATAATTTAAACAGAATTTAGAATAAGACACACGCACAGGGAACAATGCTATACCATTGTTACAGGTTTTTCACATATCTAGACAACACAGGGAAGCTGCACTATGCTTTTTCTTTGTAGGTTTAAATAGATTTTTTTTTTATGATTATCTCTGTACAATTATATGAAAAGTTGTTTTTTGCACATTTTGTGAAGTGGAAGGAAAAGACTGTTCTACAAAAACAAATATTTACAAGACAAAAAAGAAATAGCCAGTGTAGAATTTATCATTTGCCAACCTTAATATTAAACAATACGGAATGCAGTTACAGCTTTTGTGGTAAATCTACATACATTTTAAAAGTTCATAGACACAATATTTCACCAATATATTTGCAATAGTTGAAATTCAGTCCTGTGGGGTGTATCATCTTTGAACATCATTTTCTTGACACACATACCAAGATCTGGACTCAGCTTGGGCCATTCTAAGACATCTAATCTATATGCTTTGATTTAGAGTAAACCATTCTTCTAGCTAAATATTTAGTGCCCATGGATCATGAGAGACAACTTTCTCACTACTCTTAATTAGGTATGTCCTAATACGTTTTCATTCCTGATACTTCACCCATAATGGAGTATCCTTTGTATTAGTATTTATCTGATACAATATCAGCACAAATTATACATACTTCCATTGCTTATTTTGTTTAGTGGAATATTAAAAAAAGCCTCAATCAGGTTTTTCCTAAGAATTATTTTACATTTAGCTAAAGTTTATGCCTTAAAAAGCATTTCCAAAGCACAAGGCTTCCATAATGAAGGTCCACCTTGGGTATTGCCTGTGCATGTTTATACAGTATGCAGTGTAAATCCTTCCGTTCTTGTAGCCTTTTGGTTGTAACGCAAGATGGGAAATTTTGGCTCCCAGTTAACCAATAAAACTCATGGACCAATCTTTAATTTGCCCATGACATAGTAAAATTTACACTTCTGATGTCTCTTTTCTTTTTTCTAATTGCTTCTTACCTGTTACACCTTCCCAAAGGAAAGATTTTTGGAGTAAAGGAATGCATGCTCGGTGATATGTTTAAAGCTTTGGAAGACTTTATTCCTGATCCATCTCCTGTAGTTCCTTTGTCTTAATAGGCCCTATTCCACTGAAAGCCTGGAATTTGAAGCCCCAGAATTTGGATTACCCAATTAAAAAGGAATCCCGGATAATTCATCAGCATGCTTTCCCATTTCTCTGAAAGCCCTGTGGCAATCAGATTTAGAAAAAGTTTTCCTTTAGTTCCAGTGTCATCCAGCTTTAAATAAACCCCAAAGTTTAAAAGGTTTGACATTTATTTATTTAATCAACCTGCTACTGGTCAGAGTAGCTTTTTAACTCTGATTAATTATTAATAACTGCTAAAAAATAACTAGTATATGGGAGATTAAATTCGGAAGTCGGACTTCACCAACTATTTAGATCATTTGACTTGTTTTTTATTTATGGGAGCCAGAATAAAAGGGAGGAATTTATACATTTACTAGACATTTCAGAATTGTATTAATACAAAATAAAGAAAATCAAATAAGTTATTAATTTTGCTTCAACTTTGCAATTAAAATTATTACAATGTTTAAATGGAGTTTAAAAACTTCTGCATGAATTTTTTACTGCTTTATTTTTCTTTTGAGGTTTGTGGTCTCTGCAGGATTTTACCTTATTCCTATATAATTTAGTGTTATGACGTCCTTTTCAGGTTCCACTGCGTTTGCCCTTCTGGTTATTTTGGAGTGTTGTGTGACCTGGATGTGAACGAGTGTGAAGTCTCACCTTGTCTACATGAGGGCATCTGTATCAACATGCCTGGAGGCTTCAAGTGTGTCTGCCGACCTGGATACTCAGGTACCCACTTTGCCCTCAGGTGACATGAAGATCAATACAAGAGTCTGAAAAAGCTTATCATGATGCCCAGTGCAGCTGCATGCTATTGACACAGCTCTGACACAGATCTGGCTTTGCGTTAAAAAAGATAGGACTCATAATGCCTCGATTTTAATTAGCTTGCCTGCTGCTTCAAGATAAACGTTTTTTGGGGTTTTTTTTAACCCAGGCAGATGAAATTACGTCGCCTGAGTTATCCTTAAGATAGCTTTATTTCAGTTTATCATTCTATATATGTTGGATTGCTACTGTTTAATTCTAATGCATTGTGGTCATATTCTGAATAATTAGCTATAGCAACATATATATCTAAATATATACTAACATTGGGATGTCTCACCATATATTTATTCTTTACATATATTTGTTGGTACCATCCAATATTAATTCCTGTCAGACACTCTAAAGATTAATTTCATTTGTCTTCCACACTGCATCATCAATTTATCCTTCCTCTAGTTCAGAGAAGGGGGAAATCTCAAAGGTATTGCCACTCTAGAGAGCAGAACCTGACATGCATGGCCCAATTCCCACAGTAGCAGCTTTTCTTATTAGGCCTACACACACCATAGTACAAGTCTTTCCTTTTTCTGTTGCTATAAGCTCGTCTAAGGGAAGGGGTCCCCCAAGAGAGCGAGCAGGCAGGGTATACAGGTCCGGATTGGCGGCAGTCGACCAGAACTCGTGCGGAATATTTGCCACAGTAATGTGTGCAGTAGTACTGCAACTTTAAATCCATCATTCTCTCTGTTTTTTATGTTTTTTTTTTTTTTTTATGGGGGGGTGATACCAAAGTGTCTTAAATCTCAGAGCGTCACACTATTTCCAATTATTGAGTTAGGCCACAAGAGAATTTGAGGGAGAACTTTTCTTTGCATAACAAATGCTCCAAATAATTCATGTTTAAGTAGCTTCCATGCTGTGTCTGCTTAGTTGTGGTATAATTAAGCTAAAATGATATTTAATTTCCACCTGCTTATATTGACGTTTTAAGCAGCCCTTGTTTATGTTGCACCTCATAACCTTAAACATTTTTTCTCACACTTTTTTAAATAAATCACAAAAATAATTTTATTTTTGCTCATGATAGATTGTTTAAAGAGAAAACATTAATAGTCATTCCTGTTTTGGTCTCATCATATTTAAAAAGTTTTCCAATAGAATATACTCTGGACTTTATTTAAGTAATTCATGGCCATTAATATGTTTGAAACTAAACCATCGTGTAACCTAAACCCTTCCCAAGTCGCATGGCTTATTCCTCCTCCAACAATATTGTCCTGCATTTAGCAATACCAATTTTCACAGCCACTCAGAGCAGCTTTTGCATCCATGCTGAACAAATCTAAGCCCCTACTATGGTTCAGCTATCACCACATGTCAATATGACATTTGTGTGTCAAGACAAATAGTGGTGTTTTTCTTATCTTTATTATGTTATTATGGTGCTGATCTGGGTTTTCTTATTTTATGAACAGTTTTTGTAGAAGCTTTATCTTGGTATATGTGATGGTTTGCCTTACTCTTTCTTTTCCAGATGATGGTGTAAACAGTAATTCTTGACATGTTCAAAGCCTTGGTTATTATTCTAAGTGGTGACTGGCACACAGGAGGCGCTGGGGCTTCGCCCTCCCTGATAAAGGGAGAAGTAAATATGTTTTTTTACAAAGTCAGAAATATATATAGCAGTTTTACTTTCTAAAGTATGCCTCTATGTAATGTAAAATATACTTAAACTACATTTCCTAGCAATTAATATATATTTACCAGTCAATTCCCACATAAAGACCTATACAGAGCATCCCGCAGTTTAAATTAGTGATAATTTACATACTGTTTCGGTATGATCGGGGAGGCTTTCCCATTACAGTTACCAGCTCCAAAAAAACTCTGCCAGGCAGACGAGCTCAAAGTCAGCTCCTATGTCAGAGGATGAAATAGAGCGCATACAGTTACTCACAGTCAGAAAACAGGTCTACACTGAAAAACAGTCCACGTTCCAACATCTATAAACAAAGAAAAAACAGGGTATTGAAGAAGACATGGTATATTATTCTTCGGCTACCTCTTTTTAAATCATGTCATAAGAATGTGAAACAGTATTTACCATGCTAAGGAGAGATTTTGCTTCAACAGGCCCTTGGTTAGTGCCACTCTGCTGCAAGGAGACTTGTGCACACAACAAGTCCCCAGACCCAGCACTAGATACCACAGCACTATTGCCAAGTCTTTAGCCAGAAAAGTCTCTATTTGCTGTCCTAAATGGTGCTAGAATGCGCCTAATGGTGTGATTGCCTAATTTGCATATCCAGCTGAGGCAGACTCGGAATCCCTCTGATTGCTTTTTCTCTTTAGCTGTCTAAAGCAGTGCAGAGGGATATTGGGATAGCTTGGAGGAAATTACCTGGGTGGGGGTTGAGAGTGCTATGGAAAATTTTATAGAAACAAGTAAACAAAATACATAAAATTCAGCCATACCAGTTGGTGGCGGCAATTTTACCAACCTCCACCAAGAGTCTGAAAAAGCTTATCATGATGCCCAGTGCAGCTGCATGCTCTGACACAGATCTGGCTTTGCGTTAAAAAAGATAGGACTCATAATGCCTGATTTTAATTAGCTTGCCTGATGCTTCAACCAACTCACGAAGAAGTAGAAAGCTGTGCAGATACACACCAAGGAGGGAGGTGCACAAAGGAAGAGCATGAGGTGATTTAGGACAGAAATAGCAGCAGTTTTACAAATGTGTATTTCATTTGCAATCTGGATTTGAATTTGAGATTTTCTCTCTCTCTGCTGTGGCTTGCAACCCGCCAGTTCTGGATGACAACAGCAGACAGTGAGAGAGATTTGCAAGCGAGCTTACCGATCCACTCGTTTCTCACTCAAGAGGACAGGGTTTGGTGCAGGGTTTTCGCCAAAGTCCTCATCAACACAGAAAAAAGTTTCTAGATTTGGTGCTAGTTGTCTTAAAAAAAAACAGAGTTCTGAAAAGTTGCTAAATACAGCAATAAAAGCTCTAAGTTGGCAACACTGTACCACAGTTGATCCTTGTCTCTCGCTGAACAATTATCAAATTCACTTATCGTCTTATCATATTGTATTGACCTTAGAAACATGAATATAACCTTCTTTCACTCAGTTGTACTCTGTTCATCCTATAGATTCAGTAAAAAAAATATTAGTTGTTGTTTATTATTTAATTTGATAACCTTCCTCTCTACATTAAACATTATACAATCAAAAATTGTTCATTTACTTGATCTTTGAAAATTGACATTTTGAGAAAGCATTTAACCCTGATTAGAATCTTTCCAGAACTTTTTCACTGACCTGTCCCCTGTTCTCCTTTATCTTTGTGATAAATTTTGTTCACTATTGTAAATACTGTTTTAGGCAAGGCAAGGAGATTTTATTTGTATAGCACAATTCAGTACATGGATAATTCAAAGTTCTTTATATGAATTTCATCATAAAATACAAAAAAAAAAAAAAGCAGAGTAAAAGCAATCATAGGTTCAAGCACCTGCCTGGAGACCTACCCTCTTTCTCCTATTTCATTTCCTGTCTTCCTTATGACAAAAATAAATGCCACTAATGCCTAAGAAATATAAAAATAAAAAGAATGTTTTACACAGGTGGACTTCCAAAGAGAGTTAATGAAGAAAACTCTCTCTCTATATATATATATATATACATTTCACATTTTTCAGATATTTATTTGGGGAAAGAATCCTAAAACAATCTATAATTTCTTCTTTAAATTCATATCTGTGCTTACTTTTTTTGTTGGTCTTTCATTATAATCAAAATAAAAAAAAACCCATTAAACTAGCCTAGATACTTCATGACTATTGTTAAAGGTATTCAATAAGATTAAAAAGCTTTTTTTTGTTCTTTTTCTAATGTCTGGATTCCGTATGTCTGCTAAGTTATTTGTCTAATGGTACTACAATTATAATTACTTTTTATCATAAGCCATTGCCTAAAATTCCTATTTTAGAAATCATATTTTGAAAGGCTTGACAGCCTGCATAGATATCCGCTGACAGATCAATATTCGGGGACTTTTGCTCAAGATCCTCTGCAGTGCCTGTAATATATTTTTGGGCTGCACGTACTGTAGGTGTCATATTGTTTTCAGGGTCATAAGTCATTGCTACGACATGATTAATGGCTAAACTTGTTTAAATAAATCACAGTTTAAGCACAGTATTCATCACCTTCTGTTTTTTCTTCTTCGCCCATCATTAGGGAGCACACTCCCTTGAGTGATGTACAGTGCAATCAGCACATTGTTGCAGTATACTTAGTCAGCACATTGTTTGATGATGATGTTCTAGCTTGTGAGGTGCTTTTTTTTTTTGTTTGTTTGTTTTGGCTGTTAATGCTTTTCACAATCTTTTGTGATAATATCTGTGCTAGTGTAATATAGGTTTTGCCCATTGACTGCTGGCTTGTATTTCATTTAAAAAGCAACAATGGGTAATGTGTAGCCACTGGGGACATATCTTTAAATTCCAGGTTCGGTGCCCCTGAAAGTAACTGGCAACACAGCACTTTCACAAAATAAAATGTCTACTTTGGTTTTGGGGAATCTGTTAGCAGATATCTTTGAACCATCAGATTAAGAAGTCATGAGGTAGTTTTAAAGACAAGGCCACATTCACTCCTCTTGATTAAATGCTACATGCTCCTAGTATATCACTGGCTAATTGTAAGTGCCAGCTCTTGTCAAAGTCCTTCCCCCCTGCTGTGATTGTAACTGTCTTCTTGTCGTCGCAAAAAACTGGAGACTGTACCATGAGTTGGTTGATTGGTTGGTTGTTTGTTTGATTGATTGATTGACTTTATTGATCTCACAGTGGAGAAATGTACTCGTTACATTGGCTTAATAGTCAAAAAGTAAAGGGGTGCACAAAATAAAATATATTAAAGATCAAGAAAAGGATAACAAACTCAT